CCACAATCACCTCACTTTCATTAATTTGATCTGACACCGGACTACAGTAAGTATCTCAACCCAAGGGGAGTTTATTTCTTTAAAACACTAAATAATGTTGCTTTTATTTCTTCCACTGTAGCACAGTCTCTATATCGTTTCATTCCTGGATATTAGGTTGAGTTTTGTAGTGTGTTTAGCTTTTACATACGCGCAAGCTAGCGGCCACGTCCAGCTAGCGGCCTCCGGCCTTCCGGTCAAAGTTTTTAGCTGGATAGCATTTATAGTTTATACAGCTACATGACATTAGCTGTCCCCGGCACAGTTGGATAGTGGAGGGGCCTGCTAGAACAAATCTGTTTAAATGCATGTATTTGCCCATGTGTTGTGAAGACAGTCTTCAACACAGAGTTGTAATAGTGGCTAAAGCGCATCGGCGATGGAGTGGAATAAAAATGTGGAACTGGAGTTTTTCCAGAGGATTTGACTGGCCAGTGGGGACCACCCAATGTCCCACTCTGTATCAGAATACCAACACACTCTCACTCCATAAGCGTCCAGGAGCGATGCTTGGTCAGGGTCCCGAGGCGTGCAGTTGGGACGCTCCTAGGCTCCTTCAGCTTCATAAACAGACGCAAATAGCTTTCAACTGATTGCATGTATTCCCATCTGCGTCGGTATTTGACGCTCATGGAAGCACGGCATTCGTTTGTGTCGGAGGCTGTTAAAGGCAATGTGAGCGTCCATTCCCATTGGATAACGGAGAATTGTACACCCGGAAGTAAGTATTCCCCTTACTTTCGACTGATTTGACAGTGATATCTCCACTACTCATCAACTCAAAAACACCAGATTATCTTGTTAATTAAACGACATTGATAGGTTTTAGTGTGTGTACAATGCTTTTGTCACGTTTTCCCCTTCAATTCTGAGAAACAAGTCGTTTTCTATGAGTTTTGGATGGCCATTACATTACCCACAATCCTCTGTAGCAACCATAGACTGTATAAAAAAATTAAATAATACATTATTCCGAGTGTGCTTGCTTTTCTCTTTGAAAGCCATCACATAACAGCATTGTAATACACGTTTCGGCTGCATTAAATATGACATATCTGCCGTAGTTAACTCTATGTATAGAGCCCTGAAGAGAAGACTTCTAGACAAACAGGAACTGCCGCCAAAACTGAAAACTTGACGTGGATCTTAAATATATAAGCAATTAAACAACATCTTACATTTCTTTTCACACAATACGTCTCCTTGCAGTATCAACACTAATTCGGCTGACTTTTATATTTGATCCAATTGGTAGATAGGCTGTATTTACGCCATAACGGTGCACAGCTGATAGAAAGGGACACCTACTGGTTAAAGCACGTTATTGCATTGTATTATTGTATTATTTATGTTTGGCTGCTACCGGCACCATCCATTTATTCAGCTCACGTGACAAAATGTGACATGAGTGAGGGTGGGGCTGTGATTCGGCTATACACCGCCGCCGTAAAGTATTATCATCTAAATATAGTGAAAGTAGCGACAGTAAAAGTAGTCATTGTGCAGATTGGTCCATTTCAGAATAATATATATGATATGTTTTATAATGATTGATCATGAAAGTGTTCTCAAAGCTGGTAAAGGTGCAGCTAGTTTGAATGACTTTGTATACTGCAGGGTAGCTTGTGGATTTACTCCAGGTGGAACTAAAGTCTGATTTAACACTTGATTATATTTCACATCATTCATCCACATCTGTGAAGTAACTAAAGGTATTAAATACATGTAGTGGAGTAGAAGTACACCATGTACCTCTGAACTGTAGTGGAGTAAAAGTACACCATGTACCTCTGAACTGTAGTGGAGTAGAAGTACACCATGTACCTCTGAACTGTAGTGGAGTAGAAGTACACCATGTACCTCTGAACTGTAGTGGAGTAGAAGTACACCATGTACCTCTGAACTGTAGTGGAGTAGAAGTACACCATGTACCTCTGAACTGTAGTGGAGTAGAAGTACACCATGTACCTCTGAACTGTAGTGGAGTAGAAGTACACCATGTACCTCTGAACTGTAGTGGAGTAGAAGTACACCATGTACCTCTGAACTGTAGTGGAGTAGAAGTACACCATGTACCTCTGAACTGTAGTGGAGTAGAAGTATAAAGTAGCATAACATGGAAATACTCAAGTAAAGCAGCACCTCTTTTCACCCTCTGTCTGAAACCAGAGCCCAGTCTGCTCTGATTGGTTAGCTGGCCGGCTCCGTTGTGATTGGTCAAAACGCTTACACATGTCCCGCCCCTTAGCCTATCACGTACAATGTGTTGGAGCGCTACCCAATAGGAGCGTGAGGGTATATGTGAAACAATTATCTTTCTAGAAAAAGTTTTTAATGTATTTCTTTCATGTATTTAATTTAAAGAAATGAACTTATTTAGTACATCTGGTTGATAACTTTGATGTTTTTAAAAATATATATATATAAACACAAGTTAAAGTATCCAAAGTAATAAAGCAAATATAGAAAGTCAACAACAACAACAACAAGTAAACAGAAGTAATATTTTATTCAGCTCAAACAGAAAAATATTAGAGATCTTCTTATTGAAATGCTCACAGCTTAAAATACACATGAGCATCTTAAATAAACAAAATAAATAAAAAGACACTCCTTGGAAGTTTCCTGGAAAGAATATAGACCTGTCAGTGCACTGCCAACATATATTATATGGCAAATATAATAAATTAAAGACCATTTTTATAGTATTTCTTATATAGAAATTCACATTTTTACAAACATATTACATATCTCTTTCCAGGAAACTGTCAAGGAAATAATTAAGCCCTTAAGACAAATGTTCATGGGTCTATTTCTCTGAATAATCTCTCAAATATTTACAAAAATACTCCTAAAAAAAGAACTCTGTAATGCGTCACTAAGTAAAGCGACAATGGGGTTTAATTGGGATCATTTATAAATAATATGTGTACTTTTTAAACGATATCATAGGGCATTCACATTTCGATCTCTCAGCTATAGATGAGGATAACGTTTCATCTTGGAAGAAGAACTGATAGCGCCAATAAAAGGGACTTCTCCTTTTTAGGTATATATTATATATAATACATATATTGTATATTCTTGACTTTCAAAGATTGGTCAAAAACACTCTCTCCTTTTACTTTTAGAATAAGGTCTGCCTGTAAAGCCTCAGATTTGAAAGAACATCCTATTCTGAGTCCCAAACAAATAGTTTTGTTTATTTATAACGATCTTAACTCCCAGAAATATATATAGGGAAATATCCTCTTTAGGACAAGAATTGGATTTGGATGCAATTTGTGTTAATGTTAGTGCTTCAAAAAACCCAAACCATCAGTATATACGTCTGAAATGTTGTCATAGAGCATATCTCTCCGGCAGTGGCTCAGTCAGTAGGGGCTTGGACCGTGAGCTGTAGGGTCGCCGGTTCAAGTCCCCGAACAGACTTAAAGTATGGAGTGTGGACTTCTACTTGGAGAGGTCCCAGTTCACCTCCTGGGCCCTGCCGTGGTGCCCTTGAGCAAGGCACCGGACAACCTCCCATTGCTCCCCGGGCGCTGTACAATAGCTGCCCACTGCTCCTAGTACTAGACTCCTGGTGCTAGGATGGGTTCAAAGCAGAGGACACATGTCACTGTGTGCTCTGCATGTGAGACCATTACAGAGGGGTTCATCCCTCCCAATTCTATTCTATCTAACACTAATAATTAGACCCTTATTGTTCATTTTGTCCCCATTGGCTCTTTCTTACATGTTGTATGGGAGTGTCCAGGAGTAAAATTACACTTTTGGGGGAAGGTTATTAGTTAAGATCTTCTAAATGATGAATCTCACCTTTCTCTTACGCGGAAAACTCCCAAAAATCTGGCTTGACTGAAGCTCAAAAGATTATAGTCCAACGTTGGAAACCTCCTCACGAGAGTTTTTTGAACACTTCTTACCTTGAAGTATCTCCGGTGAGAATCAACGATGCAAAACCTGATCTGATATCTAACTTAAAAAGAGCTCCTGATCAAATAAGGATGCTTGAATGAATCCAAAACGTTGTGCAACCTGGATTGTTTTCTGTGTTGAAGATGTTGCAATAAAAAATGTTTTTACAGAATTATCCATAAAGGAAATGTCTATTTTTCCTTTGAATTAGAATCAAAGTTAGTTTTTTATCGGGGAAATCTATTAAATAAAAACAGTACGAGTTTTTTTTAAGAAACAATCTGACACTTATTTGAGTTTTTACAAGGTATATTTACTCCGTTGTAAATAAATGATGCATTTAGTGAAGCAAGACTTGACACAGAAATGTATATTATAACATTACAACAGTTCAGGAGTGTTCCTTATGTCCTTTTTCTAACGTGAGACATTTCAGAAGAAGACACCAGGGGAAGAAAAACTGCTTCAAAACGAAAAATAATTTAATTGACATTTAGGTTTAAGCATCATTTTTTGTCAATTTCCCATTTAAAAAAAAGACCAAAACTGAGTGCATTGATGCTCAACATAAGATTGTTTATATCCAAAAATATGCACTTTTTCCCTTCTTCTTTAGTAAATACCACATTTTCTTCCATTAAATAAAAGTGTTTTTCTGTTTTATAATCACTATAAATTGAACTATTTGAATACTTCAGACTTCGAAGAACTTCTAGGAACTTTCTCAATGATAAGAACATCATTAGTAACAAAAACAGGTCAAAATGACACATTTCTGTCATGAGCGGGAAACAATGCGTCTCACACAGAAACAGGAAGTGAAAAAATACCAGAAATTGACAAATGTTTTGGATTTTGGTCTCTTTTTTAGGCGGTTATTGACAAAAATTAAATAATTCCAGCTTCCTGAATAGATTGTCAGACACCTAAAGCGAGAGAGAGTGCGCACGAACAGACGCAAGTCAACTGAAATTTGGTCATTATGGAGTGGTGCAGGAATGAGCATTTCTTCAACTTCCTGTTCGCTCGTCTGGGTGTTTTTATAAATGCGTTTGAATGAAAAGATTAGCCGCCTTTAGCTTAGCATTGGGGATGTTGAGTCATGTGCTGTAGTTCCTTTGTAGTGTCTATCCTGCTGAACAAAACCTTTACGCATCCTAATGGTTGAGATGGAAGGAACCCGGGAGATGCTGGATGTTATTCTGGGATGATTTAACTGATGTAGGTGAAGACGACGGACTGGATGGGCAGCCTGCACACGGGACACAGCTTGTTCCTTTTCTTCAGCTTCCTGGCGCACACGTAGCAGGACATCAGGTGTCCCGTGTTTCCGTGAACGATGCAGCCGTTCTTCGGACGCGACTGACAAATGAGACACGGATCCAGACAGGAGTCGGGAAGACGCCATTCTGCAGAAACACTGCGCTCCAGATCAGGGACTCCAGCAGGAGGACGAGGAGTGTTGAGGGAAGATGGGAGGAGCTCCTGGGAGTCGATGGAGGACGAAGAAGGCTGGTAGTCAGGAGTGTTCTGCTGCGAGGAAGAGGACGGCTGGGAGGAAGAGAGGAGCTCCTCAGAGTTTGGGGCTGAAGAGTCGGAGAAGCACTGAGACAAAAGAGGCGTCTCTTTTGATCTTTTCCCATCGGGGACGTCCACTCCTTCGTTCTCCTCGCCATCTGAACCTACAGGAGACAAAGCGAACATCAGTAAAAGATGCCAAAGTAAGAGAGAATTTAAAATGTACGTCTAATATCGATCCTTTGTTATTTCCCACATCTTGTAATCTACTCATTTATATAAATAGTTATCACCGCAATAAACCGTATTAAATTTTGTCTTAATGTACATTATTTAATTTCATATTCTGTTCTTGTTCTATTTACATGTTTATAGACTTCTTGCACTACTTTTTATTTGTATTTTATTATATATGTTGCGTAGTAGGAGGAGCTCAGGTCAGAATAATTGAGCATATGACGATAAAACCTTTGAATCCTTGCAGGTAAACAGCTTCTCTCTGCCTGGAGTCTCTCTGGCTGCTGATTGGTCGGTTGGCTTTGTGGGCAGGTCTTTGGGACTGGAGGAGGCGGGCTTTGGCGGGAGTGACGCTTCAGACAGCCAATCCTGACGCAGCGTCCAGCAGCGAAGACATTTTCCGGGCAGAGGTGGGTTCAACTCGTCACACTTCACACAGCGCCAGTAATCCTGAGAGAGAAACACACACTGTTAGGTGTGTGTGTGTGTGTGTGTGTGTGTGTGTGTGTGTGTGTGTGTGTGTGTGTGTGTGTGTGTGTGTGTGTGTGTGTGTGTGTGTGTGTGTGTGTGTGTGTGTGTGTGTGTGTGTGTGTGTGTGTGTGTGTGTGTGTGTGTGTGTGTGTGTGTGTGTGTGTGTGTGTGTGTGTGTGTGTGTGTGTGTGTGTGTGTGTGTGCACGTGCACACTCACAGCTTCAGTGATCTCTGTGTCTTCATCGAACGAGTCGTTATCGTCCGCCTCAAATATGGTGACCTCGTATACCTGGACACAGACAGAGAACAAAATATATAAAACAATCAATTTGTTCATACATTATATTCAGTCTGCTCTGATTGGTTAGCTGGCCGGCTCTGTTGTGATTGGGCAACCAGCTTAGAGATGTCCCGCCCCTTAGCTTATCACGCACAATGTGTTGGAGCGCTAGCCAATAGGAGCATCACAAAACTCAGGGTATATGTAAAGAAATTATACTTTTCCTTCTAGAAAAAACTCTGGTATGTTTAGTCTTTTACATTATTTCTTTCATGTATTTAATTCTAAAAAATGAACTTGTTTTTTTATTCATAGGAACATTTTAAATAAATAAAATAAATGTAATCATTAAAATACTTTTCACGTACAATGTGTTGGAGCGCTAGCCAATAGAAGCACGAGTGTTCCGTAGTGATGTCACCGTGTTCCGGAACTTTGGGATTTTAGCGTTTGCAGAACATTTACATGCACTAAAACACACTACAGGAGAGGGAAACCCCCCCCCCAAAAGTAGAATAGGGTCTCTTTAAATACTAAAATGTAAACAGATGAATATTTACCTGGTCGTCTGCGGATATCAGAGAAGCTTCGTCTTCGTTGTAGTCGTCCGAGTCGACGGATTCAACCTCGAACTCCACGCTGAAGTTGTCGCTCTCCGAGTCTGAGGCGGCAACCGTGATCTCTGACCTGCCAGACTACACACACACACACACACACACACACACACACACACACACACACACACACACACACACACACACACACACACACACACACACACACACACACGATGAATACAATGAAAGCTAATGAGTGTCTTTGAGGGTTATTATTGTAAGCTAACAGTGAAACTAAAACACTAAAAATAGAAAACCCACTCTGAAAACAAACTACAATAAATTGGAAAAAAAATTCAAACGAATCATTAAAGTGTAAATGCTTAATAAAACAGAGAAAAAGAAATGAAACATTATAAAAACACAACAAAAATGTCTAAATAAGAGATGTTTTTGTGTGTAAATACTCACGGTGCTGTGTGAGTCTGACGATTGGCTGCTGTGTCTGTCCTTCACCAATCCTCCAATCACACACCACGACAGACTCTCATCAAACGTCAGGGAGTAGCTGTCAGACCTCATCCTCTTCCTTCCTTCTTCTTCATTATCTTCCTCCCCTGACTCCTCCTCCTCTTTCTCAGCTTCACCACCCTCTGTGCTGTGTGAGGGTCCTGAGAGAGAGAGAGAGGCAGTGATGGAGTTTAATACCTCAGACTTAAAGGTCACCTATCATGCTATTTGTAGGCAATAGCATAGGTCTCAGATATATACAAATATCTAAAAAACATGTCTATGAAGTGTTTTGCTCAAAATACCAAACAGATCACCCATTCTAGCCATGCCTCATATCCCTCTATTTCACTTCCTGTTTCAAAAGTGCTGAGGAGGGGTCTGAGCTCATGCGGGACCCGGCAGCTACTGTCTAAACTAAATGCTGCCGTGATGAAACGCCATATCATGGATTATCAAGGATTGTTTCTGAAACAGTATGGAGCTCAAAGGCTTTCTCTCTTGCCGGTTATACCACAAGGTGAGTTCCTTTTTATTTCCTGCTTCTTCACACACATGCTCTCCAGTACAGGTTAGCTCTGAGTGTTAGCGATGCTAATGTAAACACCGACCATATTACGTCTAAAACAGTCAGGCATTGTTTCTGATAGCAACGTTTCTGATAGGGCCGTGGGTCCACATTTCAGATATTACGTCATATCGGACGCAAATCTGGATCAGCTCCGTTGTTCCCCCGTTTTTAGAGATTTGGGTACGGAGGAAAAGAGAGAGGGTTTTATTCTCTGACGCTGCGTGAGTTCCCTGACACACCGGGGACACATCTTTATGTATAAAAGACATCAAAAAGTGCATTTTGCATGATTGGTCCCCTTTAAGAGGACCATGAAAATAACATAAAAATTAAACTCACCGGCATCGCTGCTTCTGCCGCTGCTCCTCCTTCTCCTCCTTCGTCTTCCTTGCCCTTCTGGTGATGAAGAGCGGCTTTCTGAGTCTGCCTCCTAAAAGCACAAACACACATTTATTAGATATTCTAAAATATTGTTTAAAACTCCCTTTAAAAATCTGTCAGTTTCATTTTTTCTTTGCCTTTTCCCATCATAATCCCTGTAGCAAATGATGCCCCTACATGCGCTTTAATATTTAAAAATATTCTCCTAAATTAGGCATTAAAAGTAATTCATTAAAAGTTTCTGATAAATAACAAAAACTTCAAAAATGAATGCATGCAGTTGTTGTTTTTAGAGCATTACTGCATGCTTCTTACTGCCATTTCAATAGAGTGCCACAGTGACGCGTCCTAAAACACGGAAGGAAACTCCTTCCGGTTCCTTCGACAAAAACGCAATGCAATTTCTCCATAGGGTTTTGGAAAATAGCTGGAAATAAGGTCTGTGGTTGAAACACATTGAAGAGACGGGTCACGTTTTGTTCAGGATAATCTCCACATGTCTACTTTTATCATTTTATAATCATAAATCTAGTCGCCTGAAGCAAAATGCTAACGTTATGCTATCAACGAACTACAGCAGGGTCGCTGCTTCAACGTCACGCCAACTTAAGATCCATATTCAAACATACAGATTCTAAATGGTACGAGTTGAAGCGTTTGTTTGAACAGTTTGCAGGAGGCAGGGACTTGCTTTCAAGCAGAACAGGGCAACAAACTTAGAGGAGTGTTTACGTGTTCGGCGTAATGACGTACAACGGCCTCGACAACTTCTGTAGTCCTATTCAGCCACTTGGTAACAACCATCGTTTTTCAGACACGTAAACTCTTCAGAAATCACCAGTGGGGTCAAAACGTGATCTGTCTCTTCAATGTGTCTCAACCACAGACCTTATTTACAGATATTATCCTAAACCCTATGGAGAAATTGCATTGCTTTTTGTCGAAGGAACCGGAAGTGGTAAAATGCTAACTTACTTCCGGGTTTTAGGACTCTATTCCGTTTGTGGCAATGTGTTGATATTCAATTCTAACATTTGCATTGAAATAACCAATTCTGCACATATTTACAAATATCTTGTCCTACTTTTGGTCCTTTTCTTACAATTTTGAATATCTAATAATGTGTCTATGTGTGCACGAAAACAAATTCAGTAAGTGTTAACCTACTTGGTAATAAACCGGCTTCTAATTCAGATTTTTGAGGTAAGATTTGCTCAAAACGGACTCAAACACAACACTTATATTTGATCTGAGTCTCACCTCGGCCCCTTTGTCTGTCTGAGTCTCACTTTGGGGTTCAATGGGGCTCGGTGGTGAATCTGAGGAAGAAACAGAAAGACGCGTTCATTTTTTATGAATGTGTTTGCATAAAAAAAAACTACAGAATCAGGAAAAAGAGGAAGCGGAGAAGAGGAACAGTTGCATCATGGAAATGAGGAAGTTATTTTAGACTTCAAACACAGCTCCGTTTCCTAAACAATGCTTTTGTTTGAACCATTTCATCCCCACTCATGTCTATATAACCAATGTGTTTATTATTTAATCGTTTCCAAGAGCACAGTAGTTCTCCCTTTACTTCAAAGAGTACATCTCCCGTCTGACGGCACGGTGTCTCCAAAGGCAATGAGTCCATCAAATGTGTTTTTCAAAGCAATTGTGAAAGCTAAATCCCCCCTTTGGTAATAAATAAAGAACTGTGTTAAATCTTGACATTTAAATTACGCTAATGTAAAAAGTAGAGCGGTCTTACCTTGGCTTTTTATCGCCACGAGGTTCTTGGTGATCATAGCGAAGAGAACTCTGAAACAAACATACAAATATATATTATTATTTATCATGTTTTGATATGTGATACTATATTATATACGTACTTGCTGTGTTGTTGCACTATGCCATATTATATTAAATGAGATGCATTACTTTCTGCATCCTATATCAGGGTTTTAAATGCAGATATTTATTTTTACTAAATTCAACGTATATGAAGTTCAACACCTGCTATAAGGTTTTTATTTGATAATCTATGGTAATAGTATTAAAAATAGTCAAATAAACTGCTTTCCATAACTGGCATAAACGTCCCTTTTACTGAGAAACAGTCAGTTGTTGTTGTTGTTACTGTCGAGCAGACCAAAACAAACACTAGTAAATCATCCTCACCGTGGCTCTTTAACAGAGAAGCTGTCGACCCCCAGCACTCGCCCCAGTGCATCCTGGGAGCAGTGGACGATGTGCTGCTGCTTCTGGTCGTACAGCTGCTTCTGGATGATGTACTGACCCAGGTAGAACATCACCTGCAGGACCAATACATCACATATTTAGCATGGGAGACATTCAAAATGTACATAAAACCTCCAATAAATACAAATAAATCCATGTTTACCTCCTTCATGGTGAAAGTGTCTTTAGTGGCTCCAGCGTGTTGCAGCAACGTCTGGAACTCTAGCTTTGGTTTCACCTTAAAAAACACACAAAATGTAGATACGATTTGAATAACAGACACTCCTACAAAGTTCTCTGACCATGTGTGTGTGGATAGACACTACTGTAAAACCAAATAAATAAAAATAACCATTCACTTTTTCTTATATAGCAACTTTTAAACACAGTTACAAAGTTATTTCATATCAAAAATCGGAGGAAAACAAACAAAAAAAGTGTATTTTATTAAGAAAGGGGACCTAGTCTGCTCTGATTGGTGGAACTTAGAGATGTCCCGCCCCTTATAGAGGCCAATAGAAGCACAAGTGTTCCAAGTGATGTCACTGTGTTCCGGAACTTTGAGATTTTAGCCTTTGCACACCGTTTACATGCTCTAAAAGCTATATAAAAAACACCCTATAGGAAAGGGGAAAACAGAACATGGGAAATGTCTATTTTTAGGTGATTTTTTAACGCGTTTGAACCTTTGTTTTGCAGCAACACACACACGAGCTGAACACCGAGTTGGCCTTACATCAGCTGTACCAGTACGCCAGCAAGTACTACGATGTGGTGAGAAACGGCTTTCTGTCAAATAGGAATATGGTGGTTTTCAATTTCTGAGAAAAGTCAATACTTGGAGAAAAACAGTCTAAATTCTGAAAAATGTGAAAAAAGTCAACATTATGAATAATTTGTAAAAGTCAAAATTCTGAGAAAAAATATCTAAATCTGAAAAAAGTCCAAAATTAAGAAACATTTGAAAAAAAGTCAAAATTCTGAAAATAAATCATAATTTGAAAAAAGTCAACAATTTGAGAATAAAAGTCAAAATTCTGGAAATTTGAAAGAAATCTGAAACTAAATTCAAAATCGGAAAAAGTCATATTTCTGTAAAAAAAAAAAAAGAATCTTAGGGAAAAAAAGATGAAAATATAACTTTCACTTTAACAGTAAAAATCTTTACTGTAACGCTTGTACATTTGATACTTTCTGTCATATTAGCAAATCAATCCAATAGAGTGCCACAGTGACGCGTCCTAAAACCCGGAAGTAAGTTAGCATTTTACCACTTCCGGTTCCTTCGACAAAAAACAATGCAATTTCTCCATAGGGTTTAGGATAATATCTGTAAATAAGGTCTGTGGTTGAGACACATTGAAGAGACGGATCACGTTTTGACCCCACTGGTGATTTCTGAAGAGTTTACGTGTCTGAAAAACGATGGTTGTTACCAAGTGGCTGAATAGGACTACAGAAGTTGTCGAGGCCGTTGTACGTCATTACGCCGAACACGTAAACACTCCTCTAAGTTTGTTTGCCCTGTTCTGCTTGAAAGCAAGTCCCTGCCTCCTGCAAACTGTTCAAACAAACGCTTCAACTCGTACCATTTAGAATCTGTATGTTTGAATATGGATCTTAAGTTGGCGTGACGTTGAAGCAGCGACCCTGCTGTAGTTCGTTGATAGCATAACGTTAGCATTTTGCTTCAGGCGACTAGATTTATGATTATAAAATGATAAAAGTAGGGTAGACATGTGGAGATTATCCTGAACAAAACGTGACCCGTC